CATACAAATACAATATTCCTTATTTGATGCCTCTGCAAAATTGATTATGCAATAAAGTCAAATATCAACAATTGATTTTGACGACTCTTTTTTCTTCTTCTTTCTTCTGCTTCAAGCCTGGGTGAAACAAGAACAGGAGCACTTTCTTCAAGCACTCTTTGCAGTATAGTGAGAATTTCTTCAGGAGATTTTGGTCTCTCAAAAGGATATTATTTTAAGGCAGGAACAACGATTTCCTGATACCGAGTGCAAGGATATTATTTTAAGGCCGGAACAACGATTTCTAGGCAAGACAATTGATAGTGCAACTAGCATTCGAGACAATTGGTAGTGCAACAATTGGCTTGACAATTAAGAAACTAGCCAACCATTAATCAAAACACACATTGCATTATAAACATCAAACTTCCCCAACATCACATTATTACTAGTTTTCATATAATAAATCTATACCACTATTCAGGCGGTGCCTAAAAGAATTTTGCATTTACTCTTAAATAACAAAAAGTTAAATTAGGTCAAGTAATATACCAATTGGTGCACCAAAGGCACCAAGAGGCAAGGGATCAAACTCCATTCCAAGAATTGGCCCATCCTCTCTCATTAGCTCCCCCAACTATGCCTCCACAAATGCTATTGCCCTCTGCTCAGATATTGCTAGAGGTGGTTCATAGAACCTCCTCATCACAGGCATTTCTGCCGTTATCCTTGGCACCGCCGTCCCAACTTTCTGAACTACTCTCTGTTGCTGTGGTGGACGGGGCATCAAATTCAAATTCCCAAACAGACCCAGACCAGAGCCATGTTCATTTTCCACCTCAGCATTATTAACAGCCATTTCATCTGCACTCCTGCCAGAGGACCTTGTAACTGCAGCTGGCGAGGCCCTCTTCGTTTCCTGCTTCTATGCGAGGGCTTTTCAGTCCTTTAACCTTCTATGGCAGAACCACATCTGTAGCTGCCGATCAGAGAGACCTAATTTCACTGAAAGCTCTGCTCTCAACTCTTCGGGAGGATATGTTTCCACTGAGCATAAAATCAAACACTTATTCTCATTAATTTTAATCCTAAAATATGCTCAAAATACTGAAATAGTTGAAAAATCAGAACCTAAATATCACAGGATAAAATCAAACAAAAATGAACAATAAAAAGAGAAATGGATGAAACTAACTAGCACAGGTTTTCTCAAGAAGTTCCAACTGATAAGGAGTCTTCGTTTTACGCTTAACCCTTTGTTCTCCCTCTGATGTAGTCTTTTTCTCCTGCTCTAGACTTCCAGCACTTCCTACTCCAACACAATTGTCGGCACCACTTCCACTACCACCAGCTCCATCAGTCTCCATTTGACTGCAGAAAATCAAAACGCTTACTTCCTCTCCAATATATAAAACCGAATCAAAACCAGTTAGGGCTTATACAGATCCCCAAATTCCAAACAACCTGGGAGTGCAAGGATATTATTTTTAGGCAAGACAATTGGTAGTGCAACTAGCATTCGAGACAATATCAACATCTTCATCTGCGTACATTACCATAAACAAATTTCCAAAACAAGCAAAAACCAGTGAGACATTTTATCAAACACTTAGATTACAATAAAATGAAGTTATACATTACTTACATTTGCGAGCCCGGACATGACCAGATCCGAAGTGAGCCTCATTGAGGTGTGTGGATGAAAAGATTACTCAAGTGAGCCCGGACACGACCAGACCGTCGACGCGGGGGTGGACGATAGAGAGGTCAGGGTCGAAGGGCCAGAGTACGTAGATGGCGCGATGAGGAGGGGAAGAACGGCGACAATACAAAGTAGGCGGCTGTGGAGGTGACATTGGGCTCTTTGATTTGCAGGTCGGGCTCTTCGATTTGCAGGTTGCCTGAGTGCAGGATTGGAAATGGCGCTGTGTGTGTGTGAGGGAGGGAGGCGGGGACGAGAGGAGGAGGAGGAGAAGAAATTAGGGCTTTTAATTTTTAACAAAGCTTTGACACTTTTTGGAATGTAAGGAAAAAAATGACTATTAGCAACGTTTTTACAAACGTGGCAAAAAGTGACATTTCGCAACGTTTTTGGAACGCTCACTTTTCGCAACGTTCCAAAAACGTTGAGAAATGTCACTTTTCGCAACGTTGAATTGAAAAACGCTGCAAAATGTCATTTTTCCGAATATTTGCCTACACAAACGTTGCAATTGACCCTTTTAGCAACATTTAATCAATGAATGTTGCCTTTTAAGTGTTGTCAAAGCCTATTTTTGTTGTAGTGTGGGTCTTCGGTGATAATACTTGCTACGAATAAAGTTTTAGATCAATAATTTTTTTGACCAAACTGAGTTAAGAAATCTGAAATTATATGGGTTTCACATTTCTCTCAACTACTGGATAATTGTGAAATAAATTTATTCACTTTGATGGAAAGAGGTTATCTACTATGTACATGATTCTATTATATTTGTGTGGACATACTCTTGTTTTGTGATTGAATTAGGCATGATAAAATATATCAATAGAAGTTAAAAAGTGTTTATGTGCAATTTGATACGTGGATGAACTGTTTAATAAGTTAGAAGAAATCAACAATGACTCTAGTGGCAGTACTTGCATCAATTTAATTATTGTGTTTTATTATATGCTTAGATATTTTGTTAAACATTTCTTTAATTGTATTATGAAACTATATGTTTTCAAATAAATATTTAGTTTATAGGAGTTGTGGGTCTTATATTTAGTTTATTAGACTTGTATTGTAACGTTATCGTAACGTCTTAGCCTAAAAAGGGTGAACAAAAAACTATTATTATGATTTCACTTGGATTTAGTTGGTATTTAAATTTATAGTAGATATATTTAGTTGTTTTAGATTTATTGCTAGTAAGATATAAATATATATTGAATTCAATGAATTAATGACATAAAAGTAGACATACAAAAAAAAATACGATGAAACCGACGGTTTAAAATCTGACCAAACCGTTTAGTTTAGGTTTGAGTTTTTTTCAAATCGTTCAAAATGGTTTGGGTTAGGTTTGAGTTTTTCTCAAACCGATTTAAAAGGTTTGATTTGAAAATCTATCAAAAATCAGTAAAACCGGATAGGCATAGTCGTGGACCAGGGTCCAACTGCGGTTTAGGAAACCACTATAACTTCTAAAATTATTTCTTTTGGTCCCCACTTCAAGTTTTTCATCCTACTTCGATCATTTTTAATTCAAATTTTCAATTTGGATGCCGCAACTTTCAAAAGCTTTGTTTTGATCCATGCTTCAAGTTTTTCATCTGACTTTGGTTCTTTGAAACCTAATCTTCATTTTTGAGGTCGTAACTTTCAAAAGATTCCATGTTAGCCCGCGAACCTCCATAATCATCTAATATTGGTATGTCTTAAGTTTCAAAAGTGGGCTTTAGTCTCCAGACTTTAAAAAGTTAAATTTCAATCCCGAAACTTATGACCTTCCTCTGATTGCATTAGTATTTTTTATCATTTCGTACAATTTGGATAGTTGTCAATTACATCAAACCAAAAACCTTCATTTTTGTATCAAATGCACCCAAGTCCGGGTTTTAACTATAATGATCATTTGAGACGAAATTGGTTAGAAATTCAATCAATTAAAAATAGAATATTAAGTTTAAAAGATAATCTTGTAAAACACACTTATCATATACCATAAAAACACTTGTTTGTTCCAAGCAAGATTATTTACTCGATACACAAGGAAACAAAAATAACCATCAATTTGTTAGATAGTATTAGGTCAAATTTGTAATTAGCAATTTCCAAATTTGTAATTTGCAATTTTTTTAGTCAAAATGACGTCCTCGATGAATTGTATTATCAAAGTCAAAATAGTGTTTATTGAGTCCAATTTATAATAAAAATAATTTGGGGTTGCTAGAGTCCTTGGAGAAGTTAAAGATATCCAAAAAAATAATCGCATATAATCAATGGAATGCAATTAGTAGTTGAAGGAGTGTCAAAGTGTTGCCCAAGTTTTGTTTCAAATTCTCAGCTACAAGTTGAGACGCATTTTTCACATGGAAAACATTTGAATTTGAAAAATCTTATTTCTAGAAGAATTGTAGTTCTTTGAGTTGCCTTAATTGAATATCATCTGATAAAGATATAATAAAAATACTGATAACTGCTCAGAGGGAGTTTGTTGGCTGTCCAACTCGCACTCAAGCAACCAAAACAGATTCTTCGGGACCAAATGGCACTCATGCAGCCCTTTTATCAGAGAATGGGAAAAAGAATGTCATTTCCCTTCTAAACATAGAATGCACTACCTCATGGGCTAAGGAAGTAAAAGAAAAGGGACATATGCGAAGCGAGTAAAAAAAAAGTTTGGACGAAGGCTTAAGTTCCTTTGAGAGGATNTCATAAACACATTCCAATGATTTTATTGATTCAATCCAAAATCTTAAATTCATTTATTTGATCCCATATATTGATCAATCCTTAGTAGAGCCTTGTTATAAGGCAAGAGTTTGTTTTTTGAAACCCAAAAACGTATTCAAATATCTTTTGCATCAACCTACAGGTCAAAATATAAAATATCCTTTGATCAAACACCAGAATTACCTTTGCCAATTAGCCTCCAGAGTTCTGGAGTTTTGGAAAAAGGTGCTTGGGGTTTCAGCGTTCAAGGACGAAGTACATTCTTCCTGATCCAAAGGAGAGAAAGTTAGCTCAGAGTTCTGAGAGATGCAGACGTTCACAATAGAAGTTCCTTGGTGATTTACAACTTAAGTGGCCAAATTCAGTTAAAGTTAAATAGTGTATTGACTAATTATAAGTTAATTTTTCTAGTGGATTTAATAGCAAGTTTGCTATGAGGTTTTTGATCCTAATTCGTGATCATATTTGGTGTTATTTATGTTATTGCTTTGATCTGAGTATTTATTTGTTTGACACTTACGATTAATTTAATTGAATTAATTGTCTAGAAACAATTAATAAATAACTTGTTGCTTTTAATTGGTTTAATTTCGCGTTTGGATCTCAACCTTTCGACTAATTGACCATCACTGGTCAATCAATTCATTTCTTTCTCGTGAGATGTAACCCTCAATTTTATTGTTCAATTTGTCACCCAAGGTGTTTACTCTAATAATGATTTCATAATGCATTCATTCATTTTCCGCTCAACTTTGGTTGTATTTTCCAATGAAAGTAACAATCTCAATATGTTATGATTCTCAATATATTTTAATTGTCCAACCTTCAAGCTTCCACTAGCCAAATAAACCCACCAAAAATCTAGATCCCCAGATTAAATATCCAGAATTTAGCCAGGATGTGTAGCGCTTTCCTTATTTCCATTGCTCAAATCCCCACATATAACAGAACAAACATAAGTTTTTCCCCTTTTTTTATATAATTCTCACTTGTAGGTAGCTATTTCACTAAGACATTGATTAAATCAACAACATGCCGCTTCTTCTTCTTCTTTTTACTAATCTCAATAATCTATGCTAAGTAGCACTGTTCAAACACTGATATTTTATTTTTATCAATGCAGATCTCTTCTTCCTACACTTTTACATCTTTTTTCCTATACTAGTGCAATACCTTTTGTTGGAATGAGTAGTTGGAATCAAACCCTTAACTTATGTTTAATACCTAGGCTCCACCGGTTAGTCAAAACTCAAAAACGCTCAACATAAATATTCAACAAGCACAGAGTCAACACCTATTTTAAATAGCGGGTAACACTGGATCAATCCCCTCAAACCATCATTTCAATTCGTTAAATTAGTCTTTTCAATTGTGATCTTTGTTCTTCAACCCAAGTCCATAATTAAACCAATATATTCTAACAATGTAACCAACCCAGAAATAAAGATTATCACGACTATTTTGCTCACAATTTCACATGGATAAATATCTATCTATATATAAAAAGTGCATATTTAACGGAATTTGTTGGTTTAACGGAAAAACTAACGGAATTTGTTGTTTTAACGGATTATGTAACGGAATTTCTTGTTTTAAACAGGCAGCTGCACCTTCTTTCAGTGTTTTTATCATAACTTTGTATTCAGAT